TAAAATTAATAAAATGTGGCAATTGACAAGACAGAGATATTTAAGGGCTATCGTGGGAGACAAGGGGAGGGGTACCTGTCTTCTGGAAGGCAGAGGAGGCCTCCTGGAGGGCCGAGCTTTGAAGGAGGATGGGAGTTAGCCAGGCATGGAACGGGCTGAGGGCAGAAAGAGCATGAGCAGAGGCCTCTGAACCTTGGTCTACTGCTCGTGCCACCCTCCCTTGTTTTGGTTCAAAGGAAGAGAGCTGAGTCTCATTCCGTTAATTTTGTGTGTACCTTACACTGGGCTGACGTGCAACCCAAGGGCCTGTGTGTTCTCAGAGCTGCCACCATGCTGACTGGCACACAGAAGGCTCTCAGTACATTTCAAATAACTGAGTGACTCCTTTTGGGGATGCGGGTCTGCACCCTCTCTTAGGGGCTTTGGCACCAGAGAACGGAAGAAACGTCAAACCAAGAAAAGACACCGAGGCCAATCATTCCCAGGAAGCACACTCGATCGGACGCCCTGGGCAGGGACCCTCCACCATCCAGGCGGGCACCACTGACCAGTGTCCCGGGCCCAGGCACTTGGCAGCTGGGAGGAGAGCTGGAGGCACCCAGAGACTGGATGAAGGTGCAGCCGGAATTTTAGGGATTGAAGGGTTAACACAAACAGATCTCAGAGCTTGATCAGGTACCCCATTCTGTGCTGTGCCTGCATTGATCTCCCAGACTAGGCTCCCGTCTCCCAAAACCGCAGGCAAGCCCCCTCCAGGATTACGTTTTAGAGGGAAATGCAAATCACCCAGAGGCTGCTTCATGCTTGGAAGAAATAAAAATTGATTCTGCTTTCGTTAAAGTGATTTCTGGACACTGTCGAAGCTCTCTCATCATGGGGCAGGTGGTGGCAGAGGCTGCTGGTCACCATTACATAACCAGGCCAACCAGCAGCTCTGGGCACCTCACCAGGAGCGACACTGCCCCTTGCCCTTCCCGAACTGCCCTCCCAGCCCAAAGATGCCCAAGAGGACCGCATCCCATCCGGGCCTGGAGCTGGGCCCGGAGCTGGCCCTCGAAGGCTCTGGTAGACGCTTGCTCATACCCACCCCCCCCCCCCCGATGCTCCCTTCTTCCCCCAGAGCTTCACCCACAGACGGACTCAGGCACCAGGCCAATTGTCATCCCAAGCAAAGTCAAACAAAGTTAAGAAGGAAAATCGGCTTTGAAAAAGCCTGCGACATATAATACATTCCCAAACTAATTCCCCAAATAAGATGAGTTGGTCTTATTTAATATTGGGAGTTCTGCATTATCCCTTCCCTCTGTTAACTGAGATAAATGAGGATTTACTCTATTTATAACATCAATTATGAGCACAGAAATTAATCCTTTAATGGGGCATTTGGGAGCTCAACTGTCAAGGGGGCTGAAGGGAAGCGTGGGCTGGGTGCGGGCATCTCCCCTCAGCCCGGCAGCTCCAGAGAAGGCCACCCTCGAGCCAGGGTGGCGATGGAGCTGTTGTTCTGTATGTTTAAGATATTTCGAGATATTAAATAAACGGGAATAATCGGCTCCCGGAGATCCCTCCCCGGAAGACACCTTAGTCACTCATCAGCGAGTCCTGGGAGAGCAGGCAGAGAGGCAGCCAGAGCCAGGAAGAGCCACCCAGCTCCTCCATGGCCACATGGCCCTCGGCCTGCCGGTCAGGCCTGCTCGAGGAGCTGAAGACGGTCTCTCCAGACAGGAAACAAGAGCCTGGGCAGGGATCAGGGTGCGGAGGGCTGGGAGACAGGTGTCTGCTAGGACCTCTTAGAAGCAACCAGAGAGAACATGGCATGCAGCAGAACATGAGCCCTTGGTATTCCACAGCCACCAGTGACAGCAAAGAGTAGAAAGCAGATAAGCTTTCTGGAATGGTCCACAGCTAGCCAGTGGATGTGCTCGGGACAGAAACCAGCCAGGGGCGATAAAGGTTTCCAGGGTTGAGTTAGTAAGACCTGCAATAAAGGCCAGAAGACCTCCTCAATGCCGCAGAGCATCCTGGGGGATGGACCAGACACCAGGTGAAGGCTGCTCTCCTCTCTCCCAGGGGGCCAGGCCTGGGGCAGAGCAAAGATCTAGGGTCCACCCTGGAGAGAGGACAGGCAGGTCTGGAAGGCACTGAGAACAGTAGGCCAAGCCAATGGAAAAGGCGCCCCATTCACGTCGACTTATCTCTTAAAAAGCATCTTGCCGAGCACCTGCTATGTCTAGCCAAGCAGGGAGCCTGCTGATGGTTCCGACTGCAACTCAGGTCACAGTCAAAGCAGCGCGATACTGCACTGGACGGCGGCGGCCAGGGTGGGGGAAAAGAACACTGCTCGCGAGGTTAAGGAAGGTGCTACTTTCTTGCCCACTAGTTTCTCCTCCTAGATATATATTTTTAAACATTTTTATTGGTTTCAGAGAGGAAGGGAGAGGGAGAAAGAGACAGAAACATCAATGATGAGAGAGAATCATTGATTGGCTGCCTCCTGCACACCCACACTGGGAATCGAGCTTGCAACCAGGCCATGTGCCCTGATAGGGAATCAAACTGTAACCTCCTGGTTCATAGGTTGATGCTCAACCATTGAGCCACACCAACCAGGCCCTCCTAGACATTTTGGTGCACGGGGGAAGGAAGGGCGTGGAGGCCACAGTCAGAGGAAGCATGCTTCTCCCATGGAGGTACCCTTCCCTTCCTCTTTGCCTTCACTCTCTGGCACAGTCTTCTTGCTCTCCCCCAAGACAGTAAATGCGGCCAAGACTATCCATCCTGACAATGGACTTGCCCCTTGACCTACAGGGCGAAGGCTACAGGAAATCCATGGTCTGCTCGGTGGCGATAAAACGCTGGGACTGTCTATGAAAGCAGCATTCATTGGAAGGCAGTACTTTGACTTGCCAGAAAGAACTGTTTAATTTATAAAACCCCTGAGTGCCTAGAGCAGTGCCTGCCATGAAGTACTCACTGCAGTGATGCTTTCACAAATCTCGATACAACCAGAATAATACAGAAAGTAATAGATCCGAAGGTCTGATTCCTAACCAGGGGCCCTGATGGTATGGAAACAAGTGGTGGTAAGTGAAAGGAGAAAGGGCGTTGGATAGAGGCAGCCAGGCTGGTATTTGAAAATAAGCTCCGGCCCTTATCAGTCATGTGACTCCAGAAATGTATTTAACCTCTCTGAGCCTCACCTTCTGCATCTTCAAATAACATTTCCTACCTTACAAGGCAGGTGTGAAGACTTAAAGAGATGATACATACAAAGTGCTCAGCACACAGCTGACAGATAGTAGACACACATAAGCCACTACACTAATAATAAAAAATAACAGGCAGGTGGTCACTGAAGTGGCCACTGATGTCTTTTGAAACAATCCCATGTTAGCTCTCACTGCCTTCCCTCTGCCCTGTCTTCTCCCCATGGCAGTCTGAGACACCACTCTGGTGTCATGAGGCCCCTCAAAGGGCACGTGAGGGCACAAGGCAGTCAGAGCCGCATCAGAAGTACAGCCAGGCAGCTCCTGGCCACGGGTGAGGTCTCCCATGTGACAGGATGGCCAGGGTTGGCCTGGAAGGTCAAAGATGCCCGCTTCTTCCCACACAAGGGCACATGCTCTGGCCCATTTTATTCCTAATATCCCATCACCCCCGAGAGCCCACATCTGCTGCCTGAGCCGAGAAACACAGGGTCAAATGAGCAGACCTTCTTAGCCATCTGGGCGGGAACAGTGTTTGGAGAAGAGTGTGTCAGAGGAGGAGGGGACAGGATGACCTCTGTCAGACATGCAAGAGGTAAAGGGAATGCCACCTCCAAAGTGGCCTTCACAGATGGACAATGACACCCCTTGCTCAACTCCTTGCTGCTCCCTCCAATATGGCAGAATGACAAATGTCATCATGTGAAAAGGTCCCTTCACCTCATCAGTCATTCCTGAGAAGCATGCCCAGCACTACAGGAAAACCCACACAAGCGGCCACAGGGTTTCAGCCACGAAAACTACTGAATCACCAGGATACCGCCAAACGAATTGCCGAAGACCAAATAAAAAGCTTCATGAGTTCTCCACCGGCAATATGATGCTTCCTGGCTGAGCAAATATAGACCCAGCACATGAATCGTGAAGGGGGTTTGCATTCGACTCATTGACTTGCAACAGCTGAAGCAGAAACCCTAAGAAATACGGGTCTCCCTGAAACTGCCTTCCTTGACCCTAATCCCATTAGGGGGAAAACTGGACTCTCTTTCCTGAGCCCCTTTTTCTTCTTCTTCTTCTTCTTCTTCACATCCCAGGACCATCAATCCATTTCTGTGACCTTGGCTGGAGAGGGGGCATCTGGGGAGTGGAAGAGAGAGTCACCAGGGACCTCAAGGAGCATCCCTGCCCCTCCCTTCGACAATATGGCTGCTTCTGTGTCGGACCACACGCTTCATTCAGACTACCTCCCCATTACCCGGTAGCCAGGTCACTCCATCACAGAAGCGGGCTGAGAAAGCAAGGCCGCTCCCCCTTCAGCAAGGAAGGAACAAACCGGGACCCTGTTTTTCAGAAAATCCAAGTTCGGTGTCACTTAGAGAAAATCTCCTCAGGGCTACGGAGCCCTTAACGGAAGTATGCCCCCTCCTTGCCATACTCACCAAACCCTCACAGCCTTTTCCTCCCCACCGGCTGCCCTGTTTCTCTTCTTTATATGCACGCATGTAAATAAAATACAGCCATCCCTGCCCCTCCTCCCCCCAAACACACACAAACGCACAGAATGCATGGCCAAAAAAACAAACGGCGACCGAACTTTCTAAGTTTCATAAAACACACCTAGAGAACGCTCCATTCGGAGCAAGCCACTGCCCCCAAACGAACCCGCCTCGTGCCTTCCCCTTGTGATGAGGCAACTTCCCTGGTCACACACGTTGGATACCCCTCTCCATCCTCCTCTGCCAACCCCGACGACGCCATCCAGGGCCCTGCTCCGGGCCGCCAGCCCCCACTTACCCCAGCGTCGTCATGGTGACGATGGTGTACCAGAAGGAGGCGGGGATGCTCGTGAACTTGCTGGCGGAGGAGCCCTTCTCGGCGTAGAACATCACAGTGGCGAAGATGATGATGGCCATGGTGAGGGAGAAGAGGAGGAAGCCCAGCTCGGAGGCGCAGCTCTTGAGCGTGTAGCCCAGGATGCGCAGGCCCTGCGAGTGGCGGGAGAACTTGAAGATGCGGAAGACGCGGAAGACCCGCAGCGTGACGAAGGCGCCCGACACGTCCTCGTTGTTGGTCATGACCAGGCCGATGTAGTAGGGCAAGATGGCCACCACGTCGATGATGCTCATCACGCTGCGCACGAAGCGGTAGCGGCTGGGCGCGGCGAAGAGCCGCAGCAGGTACTCCACCGTGAAGATCATCACGCAGGCCGTGTCCAGGCAGAAGAAGGCCACCGAGTAGCGCTCGCCGCACGGCAGCTCCTTGCTGCCGGGCACCGTGCCGCACGGCACCGTCTCCACCACGTTGGTGATGACCGAGACGGCGATGAAGAAGCCGGTCACGTAGTAGAAGACCAGGGCCATGGTGCTGGTGTGCGGGTTCTCGAAGGCGCGCCACATGGTCTGGCGGAAGCTGAGCGAGGGCATGGACTCCTGGTTGTTCTCCGAGTCCAGGTCGTCCTGCAGCCGCTCGGCGTTCTCCCGCTTGCGGTCCTTGTACTCCTCGTAGCAGCAGTCGCCGATGATCTCGGGCAGGATGCCGTAGAAGGCCAGCTCGTCGTCGTAGGCCGAGATGCACTCGTAGCGCGGGTAGTGCAGCTTGCCCGTGCGGTAGAAGTTGAGGACACAGCGGAACACCTCGGGGTCCCGGTCGAAGAAGTACTCCTTGGTGTCCTCGTTGAAGAAGAATTCCTTCTCCGTGCTGCCCAGCAGCGTGTCCGGGTAGCGCTCCAGCGTGGTCCGCCACGTCTCGAACCTGCGCCCACTCACGTTGAGCACGATCAGCTCGTCCTGGCGCTTGCTCTTGTCGGCCGGGGCCAGGGGCATGGGGCAGTTGGCCACGGGCATCCACCCGATGGCCGCGGCCCGCGCGAAAGGCAGCCAGGCTGCCACTCCCGCCGCCATGGTGACTCTGGCGCCGGGGCGGCCACTGCGGGGACTGGGCACACCAGCTTGGACTCAGTGCAGCGGCCCCTGGGGGACAGGAGGAGAGAGAGCGGAGAGCCGGGTGAGTCCTGATGGGCAGGTGGGGGTGGGGTGGGGGGTGGGGGACTGCGGGAAGGGTCATAGGTGAGGGACACAGCAAACGTCTTGAAAGCAAATGAATGAAACTGAAATGACCGCCCGAGAGGACGGTTCTCTCTGTCCTCCCCTGTGGGCAGTGCCCGTAGCCTGGGGGCGCAGCGTGGGCACCACCGGATGTGGCTGCCTGCCTGAGGGATTGTCAGGTTCCCAGAGGGCTCAGGGCACAGGGAGGGAAAGCCTCTTTCGCAGGAAGATGGGGGAAGACCCGGGAAATCATCAGCTCTTAAAGGTCACGGCCTTCTTGAGAACTCAAATCGGGAGAGGGTACATGAGTTTTCATTACACGAATTATAAAGTGGAATAAACATGCTAATGTTTATTTCTCTCTTCATCCACCAGGGTAGTCAGGAATGGGGTGTGGCTGAAGGGGCTCAGGCAAACACCTTCTTCCCACTCCTCCCTGGTGAGGTGGCTGGGACTGTCCAGCCCGGAATATTCCGGGAGGTGGCCGGTGGCGACAGCAGGCTCAGGGCTCGGTGGAGCTCGTCCCTAAGTCCAGTGGAGAAGGCTGTCCTCACACGAATGTCACTCTCTGGGACACCCAGCCACCTAGTGTCCAATCACGACTCTCCCAGCCATGACAGGAAGACGGGACAGGCTCTGAGGCTGGGCACCGGCCCCTGCCCACCTGTGAAGGGACTCTGGGACTCTGTTCACCTGCCTCCCAGGCACTGCCCCTCTCCCTCCCGGAAAAAGCTGATCCACGCTCACTGCCATCTCCAGATTCCTCGCCTCCCGTCTCCATCTGCCCACCATCCTTAGCTCCCGTGGCTTATGTAACAATACCCTCTCCCATGCCAGCCTCTGTCACCTGGCCCCACCCGGCCCTCGGCAGTTCCTGGTCCCCTCCCCCACCGCTCCCCGACCACACCGTGCACACCTGGCTGCACCCCTGCCTGCACGGAGGGAACGGTGGCGGGGAGAATTATATTTGGCTTTGGGAAACAGTTTTACCTTCCCAGATCTGGCTTTTTAAAGACGGTAGTGAGATGGCTCTGCCTTCCCCAAATGCACACCATCTGTGGCTAGCCATGTGGTGACACAGAAACACACGTAACATGACGGGAGACTGTTTGGGGTTAACACACTCGTGTTCACGAATCCTAAATGGATCGCTCGGAACCAATCCTGACTCAGAATTATTGGGGGCCTCTGGAATGCAGTTGGTTTGATTCTGTGTTTAAAGAAATGAGGGTGCCCTGGCCGGTGTTGCTCAATGAACAGAGCGTTGGCCCGTGGACTGAAGGGTCCCAGGTTTGATACTGGTCAAGGGCACATGCCCCGTTGGGTCTCAGTCCCCAGCGGGAGGCGTGCAGGAGGCAGCCTATCAAAGATTCTCTCTTATCATTAATGTTTCTAGCGCTCCCTCTCCCTCTCCCTTCCTCTTTGAAATCAATAAAAAATTATTAATAAATATATTTTTTTAAAAAGAGAAATAAATGAGGCAGAGGGGAGCCTTATCATGGGATTTGAGCTCCATCTCTCCCTGTCAAACCTGCTTCCTCCTCCCGGCTCCCCACCCTTCTAGGATTCTCAGTCTGTGCCTCCTCTCTCTCTGGGGCTGCCCCTGGCCGTGCCCGCCTCGGTGCCTGACGCAGGACAGGCTTAGCTCGGATCTCTTCTCCCTTTCCTCTCAGCATCCCTGGCCGCAGCCTGTCCCCTGGGCCTCCCTCCTCATGCTCCACCCAAAGAGTCGCCAAATAATGAACCAATGGCTCTTCCTGCCCTCGTGAAGGCCCCAGTTCCTTCATGCCTCCTCCCCGCTGGCCTGCTCATCTTCATCCCCACCCCCACCCTGTTTCTCCTGCTCCCCAGAAATCCACGCTGCTCAGTCATCTCCCCGAGCCTGGCTCTGACGGCTGCACCCCACAGCTTCCGAAACCAAATGCAAACAGGGCCCAGCACTGCAGCATGTCCACCATTCCCGCCCCGGGTCCCATGCACCCATCTTCCCTCCAGCAGCGAGATCACAGACGGCTCTCGCACTGACCTGTGGGGGTCCCTCTCTGGGCATGCTCCCTTCCTCCTCTTGGCAACATCCTCCCCCTCCAGCCCCTTTAGATTCCCACCGGGCCCTCACCCTGGCTGTGGTGCCCCCACCTCGCCCACCACGAAATCCCCCCTCCTGTGGGCTCCCGGACAGCGCTGCCCCTCGTCTCCAGCACCCGTCCCCTCAGGCCTGGATGACGGACGCTGCTGCGTGTCGTCGTGGCAATCACGGCTCAGACAGTAATCGGGCGGTTACTGCAGGCCAGGCACAGCCCTGTCTCCTCGGAACCCTCTCCTGCCTTCCTCACGGCAGCGTGGGGAGAATCTGACAGGCGATGGTCGAGAAGGGGGGACAGGGACCCCCACCTGAGCAGTCTGAGCCCGCAGTGGTGCTAACCGCTTCTCTGGGTCCCCCTGTGAGAGGAACAGCGGCGGAGGTTCCCTGAGGCCTCGTGTGGCGGGCTCAGTGCCACATGCCCGCATGGGCCGTCTCCCCTGGCCACCCCAGCCACCCGAGGGGCAGACACCACCGCTGCCCCCATTTTGCAGATGAGGAAGAGGAAGCATGAGCAGCTGTACGAGGTGATGTCATACGTGGGCAGAGAGCTTTGAACCCCGGCCTTCTCAACAAGGAGTCAAGGGCTTGGCCAGGCCACTGCCCTGCTTCCCCGAGGCCTTCCCCCCCCCACCACAGGGCAAAGGTCATGGTGCCTCCGGTGTTACTTGTCAATCAGGAGGGGCATAAGCCCTGTCCCCTAGTAAAGGCACCCAAAAAAGGAGCAATTGCCCAACTTCTACTTTCTCTCTCTCTCTCTGTGTGTGTGTGTGTGTGTGTGTGTGTGTGTGTGTGTGTGTGTGTGGTATGTGTCATTGAGAGGGGACATCCAGGTTTTGGAAGGGGAGAGGTCCCGCCGGATGCCATGCCCGCAGCCACCCCAGCCCTATCCCCACACAACCCTGCAGGCATGGCGGCTGCAGCAGGGCTGCTGGTGGCTCTCCCTGCAGCGCGGGCCCCCTGATGGGCACCGGCACCTCCCGCAGCTGACCTGGGTATGGATTCCTGCAACAGGCACCACCGTGCGGCCCCGTTTCCAGCCAATGGCACTGCGCATGCCCCGGATGCCGAGGTTTTACTGGGACGTGGACGCCTCACCGACGAAAACTCTGAAGCTATTTTTGTTTTTGGCAGAGGAGTTTGACAGTGGGAAAGGTGGGGGTGGGGGCAGGCCGGGGGGGGGGGCGGGGGGGGGAGAAGACATTTAAACAGGTGAGTGTTGAGATGACAGGCAGAAAATCCCACACAAGGGAAGCATTCCCCCGGCTGTAAAAACTCAGCTCTGGGAGACTGCTCCTGCCTGGGAGGGCTAGGGCCCCAAGTGAGCAAAGTGACCCGACAGCCTGTCCTGAGCATCGGCGCCCAACCTGGGCACAGGCCCACAATGTCACATCGCCACGGCCTGCCCTTCAGCCACCTCGGCAGGGTGCCGGAGGCGCTGAGGCCCCGGAAACTTTTACCTTTCACAATTGTATACCGTAGCACCGAGCCCAGAATGAGGCCAGTCTGGGGGAGGGGAGGGTCCTGACAATCCAGGGGGCTTTCTCCTGTGCCCACAGAGTTCGGGCAGGCAGACGGACAGGGTGCCAAGCAGATAGGGTGTCAGAGGGACCGGGTGCCAAGCTGGGGACCCTTGGGTCCAGGCCTGGGATGCACACCCAGGTCCTCTTCTCCCACAGTGCCACTCCTAGGCTGGCCGGAGCACTCCCGAACCCACTCCTTTTTCTCAGCCTCAGCAGCTAAAGGGAACGAGCTACTAATCTTTCGTCCTCTGGAGGTCTCTTGTGCGCTTGCATTTTGCTCATTCGAGTAGTGACGAGGGAAAATAAACATATCCATCCCTGACCATGTGCCAGCATTTCCACATGGGGGAATGTACAGATACTTTGTGTGGAGTTCCTGCCCGCCCAGGCCCCCTGGCTGCAGAACCAAACTACCCAGGCCCCCTTGAAGGGACAGAACATAAGGTGCACGCTGAACCATCACGTACGTACATTCACGCTAAACACCAGCACGCACCATGCAGCAGCCCTCGCCAGAGCTCACAAACAGACCGCTCTGTGCCCAGGGTCCTGGGGCAGTTCAGACACCCTCCCTTAAGGAATACGGCAGAGCCTGTGCTCTGAGATTCCAGGTCCAGAGCCTCTGCCTGTTGCTGACATGTCACCGCTGCCCAGGATTAAACACACACACACACACACACACACACACACACACAAAAACGCAAAAAATAAAAAAATAAATAAAGGCAGGACATCTTGGACTTGATTCAAATGTCAACACTAAGCAAGTGCAGGAATTTAGTTGATTCCAGGTAACTTCACCCAGTCCCTTCCGCATCCCGTCTGTCCCCGAGGTGAACACCCCGCAAAGTGAGTCTCTCGCCCCCTCCCCGGGGCGCGGTCCCTTAGCGGCCCCCCCTCACCCCACCCCCAGCCCCCAGGGCCCTCTGGGGAGAGGCGGCTGGAGCAGGACCAGGGGTGCGGGCCCCCCGGCCTCCGGGAGGCACCCCGCCGGCTGGAGAACTTTGAGAAGCGCCCCAAACTGCTCCCTGCCTCCGACCTCTGCCATGTCTCCGCTCTGCTCACAAAGGAGGGAAGAAGGGGTGCGGAGCCAGCCGCCGCCACCTGCCGCCGGCTCCCGGGGCGCTGCCGCCGGCACCCCAGGGAGGGCAGCCCGATGGGAGAGGGCAGCGGCTCCCACCCCCACCCCGATCTCCCGGAGCTGGACCGCAGCCCCAGGGAACAGAAGCCCCGCGGCGCCGGCCCCACCCCCG